GCACCAAATGTACCATGTACAGAACGCTAATAAGACCGGTGGTCCTCTATGGACACGAGACATGGACTATGCTCGAGGAGGACCTGCAAGCACTCGGAGTTTTCGAGCGACGTGTGCTAAGGACGATCTTCGGCGGTGTGCAGGAGAACGGTGAGTGGCGGCGAAGAATGAACCACGAGCTCGCTGCACTACATGGCGAACCCAGCATCCAGAAGGTGGCCAAAGCCGGAAGGATGCGGTGGGCAGGGCATGTTGCAAGAATGCCGGATTACAACCCTGCAAAGTTGGTGTTCGCTACTGATCCGGTTGGCACAAGAAGGCGTGGAGCGCAAAGAGCACGATAGGCGGACCAGGTAGAGCGTGATCTAGCGAGCATTGGGCATGACCGAGGATGGAGAGCGGCAGCCGCAAACCGAGTATTGTGGCGTACTATTGTTGATTATGTCTTATCTTAAATGTGATGTTGTACAAATAAATGTATGTATCCATAGACCATATAGGTTCACCGTTGTATAATTGGTAATGCACCCGTGTACTGAATGGAAATTGTGGGTTCGAATCCCACCGGTGTCTCTTACCGATGATATGTGCTTACCTTCTCAGTATGTCCAAACTTTCTTACAGAAAATAAGAAGTTATCTTCAAAATTGTGTACAGTTGCTTCCATCCTCTTACAACCTACTAGGACCATAGTTCCACAAGTTGCTTGCTTACTTTTTTAGTTTAAACCTCGGTTTAAACAGTAATTAAACAACAACTGTTTATGCCAATCTTATGGACATTGCAAATCATCACTAGGCTGATTTGGAATGTCCATAAGATTGGCATGAACAGTTGTTGTTTAATTACTGTTTAAACCGAGGTTCTGTTCGATAACAATAAACGAGCAGCTACGAACTGCCGAACAAATAGTTGTAAAATAGTACATTATGTGCCATTTTCTTGTACTTTAGCTCATAATGGGTTCTCTCGCTTAACTACGTAGTCTTTTTTATGCTTTTGACCGTTGTTACCTATTTAATCAAGACGCTGGATGTGAATACTACTAAGATGGAAGCATATTTGCGGATATCTGAAGAGAAAACACTATCAATCATGTTTAAGTCGGAGAAGTTTACGCTTTATGCATTAAGTAACAACAGAAATGCTCGCAATTCAGTCGAGACGGAAAATTGTAAAACTCACTATTTTAACATGAAAACTTTCCAGGTACGTGGATGTGCTGTTGGTCTACTACACTCATATTGGGTCTATGAATGGAAGCAACTTCGGCCCATCGAAGATGACTGTCGATCTACCAAGGATCAGCATGTGAAATCATGCTTCTTGTTCACTCTTTATCGGTCATACGTAGCCGCATGTTGACGTCACTTACACTAATTTTTAAACAACCCAAATTTGAGTACGATCTACTCATATCCAACCGGAGTAAGCTAGAGATTTTAAATTGGCTCACTCCTTGACTAGCTTATTGGTCCCAAGCAAAAAGATTAACGTACTCGATTCTAGTCGAAATTCTAGTACTACACTATGTATGTTTTGATTCGCTATGAAAGTTTGACACATAAAATGAGGGGTTCATTGATTCTCCTATGTTTCGAGGTGTTTGGTTAGGATCCCCAACTCTAGGTGAGAAACACGTTTTTATCGTGTATGAGCTTTAAGCTGCAATTAAATGTTAGTTTAGGATAAATTTTTAGCGATCCTGATGTGTACGACAAACAAATTTGGTGTACTGTCTCTGGAAGTGGTGCGACTTGATTCCCAGGCATTAGTTTTAACTGTACTAAACTGTATCTATAAATTCAACACTAGTATTAAGTTCAATTTACGTTTCATCAATCCGTACTTACAATAATTAGAATATAGGTTTAGATTTTAGCACTGAACGGCAAATCATGTAGAAAACTAGATTTAGGGACTGTTAATAGTTAGCTTTCGAGAGATTTAATTAGTGATTAACAATTGAGATAAATTCAAACCATGGTAAACCTTGGTGAAAGTTCGAAACTTCTGGGCACCGAACACGGGTTTACTGTTAAACTCGTCGTCCAATACAGCTCACTTCACTGCTGGTCTACGTAGAATCCCCGAAGATGTCCGGACCAACGCTTGCCGCACTCTGCCGTCCCGTCCTGGGAAGACCTGCTCGATCCTTCCCCGTATCCACTGGTTCCTTGCCGTTCCGTCTATCGCCAACACCAACTCGCCTACCGCCAAATCCTTCACGTCCTTAAACCACTTGCTTCTTCGCGTGATCGGGTAGGTATTCCTGTGCCAGAAATCCTCGGTGATGTACCTTGCAAACTTCCAGCTGCTTCGAAGCGTTGAGCTGCTATCCAGCTGCTCGGTGGTTAGGAACTTTCTCCCTGAAGAATTTCCCAGCAAAAAATGGTTGGGTGTCAAGTCCTCCTAATCCGCAGACTCCAATGGGATAAAGGTAAGTGGTCTGGAGTTGATCATTCCCTTCGCTTCCAAGAGAATAGTCTCTAATTTCTCGTCGTCTGGTTTTCGCGGACCGCCTAGAACTGCTCCAATCGCCACCTTCACCGAACGTACGAGTCGCTCCCACACACCTCCCATGTGTGCTGCTGCTGGTGGGATGAATTTCCAAGTGGTTTCCGCGGTAGTAAACTTTTCGGAGAGAGCTTTGTGTGTTGCTTTACTTTCCGTCTTCAACTCGTTGCTGGTGCCTTGGAAACAGGTGGCGTTGTCGGTCCAGAACTCCCTCGATATGCCTCTACGAGCCACGAAGCGTTGCACTGCTATAATACACGATTCAGTACTTAGTGAGTGAACTACCTCCATATGCACCGCTCTAGTCGTAAGGCATGTGAAGAGGGCCACCCAGCGTTTTACGTTGCTTCTGCGTCACTTAGTGTAGATAGAGCTGAATTTATCCACGATGGCATGGCGATTCTCTTGTGGTCCTTGAGTCTTGACGAGTATGGTGATTTCTTCTATATACAACTCGCTTTGAGCCGACTTCAGAAGTGCCTGTTGGAGTTCGTCGCTCGTGAGGTTGCCGAGTTCCAGATTATCTTTCGTTCGACGTCTGCGGAAGTTCTCAATGCAGCGAAAGACATACGCTGCCACGCGCTGCATTTTAGTCCATCGATCGAATCTTTTGAACACCATAGCTGGAGCAAAGTGGATGGCGTTGAAATGGGTAGGACGGAGTTCTTCTTCAGTTGGAGTAACCGTTCGCTGCTTAGGCCAATGTTCTTCCGGCTCGTATAGGAAGGCCGGTCCTCGGAATCAAGGATTCTCCATTGTCACCTGCGGACCATTGTTCCACTTGGTGGCTAGATCTGTAACGTTATGCTTAGACGGTACCCACTGCCACTCCGACTGTTGTGTAGATGACATGATCTCCCCAACCCGAACGGCTACAAACTTGTGGTAATGACGATGGTCGGTTGAGCGTACCAACGCGAGAACCGTTCTTGCATCACTCCAGCAGTATCGCCGACTGACCGTGTACGTGTGATACCTCTGGATAGTTTCCATCGAACGGATGCTCAGAACCGCTGCTTTCAACTCGAGTCGAGGAATTGAGAGTGTCTTCAGCGGTACTACCTTCGGTTTAGCTCCAACAAACGCCACCTCTGCACCACGATCGATTTCCAAACGGAAGTATACTGAAAAGGGTCATTTGTGCATGGGTTGAGTTGAACGCAAGCGTTGTTGTGGTTGGTAGATGTCGGCTACAGGAAGAACTACTGGGTGAATAGGCTGAGGATCCTTGGGTCGTATTCCTGGAGTAGGGTCTCTTGGATATAATGGAACTTTCTCGACATATTGGAGACAGTTAAAGGCCATCCACATATCATAAGTTATATAGAAACGTCAAAGTGATCCGATGCCAGCACTGCGGTGATTAGTTCGCGCAAATGATAATATTCAAATCAATCGTTAAATGCGTGAAAGATGATCCAGAATGGCCTATAGTTATAAAACGCAAGTAGTGCTAAATCTTTAAAATTAACAAATTACAGTGAAAGCTGTGATATTTATATATTAGGCTAGCTTGTTAAAAAGGGTAAGCCCTTTCAATTCATGAAATTATCAGATTTTTTGACGACCACCGTAGTGTGGATTTTTGTTAGTGCAAGATCATGGCACATTTCATTCGAAAAATACGAGAATTTAACACAACTTTTTCTTTTAAAAAGAGCAACAGATGTACACAATTTATCACAAAACAGGCAATTCACTTACGGTTAACAATTTCAGGGCAGATGTTAGTTGTTCATTACTATTGTGTATTATTACTGAATGAATGAGTTATTTTCTAGTACATGATCAAAGTTTCTTTCAAATCGAAAAGAGTCTTTACAAAAATGAATTGTTTTGCGTTTTGTGCTAGAAACGCTCTAAGGTTTCGGAATTTCGCTCCCTAATCTAAAGGTGTTAACATAAATCCACACGCAGAAGCCAATTCCGAATTCAAAATCTCGTATGGTGAAATGATCCAATCCCGGGAATAACGTATCACCAAGTAAGATTATCGCTTAAGTGCTGCATAATTCTATTTCCCCTCGTTAAGACGGAAAGTATAATCAAACCTCACAAGGACTTCCCCCCATCCTTTCCGCTCTCATCTGCTACTACGTGAACCCATTCACCATTTCCCGGTAGCAACCGGTGCCCGGAGAAAGGAAGGTTCAATTTCCTACCCCGCCACACGCTGCACTGTCGTTCATTTTCAATCAGCCGAAGGATGAAGCTGTTGGAAAGGGAAAAAAAAGCGTGAAAATCGAACCGGGATCTAGAAGGAAGAAAATTACGATACTCTTCCATAGGGCTCCTGATTCCATGGAACAGTCGGGCGTCGTCGGAAATGGGAAAAAGCTGATGAGCTAAATGGTTGGAACCGAACCTTAGCCTAGCGAACGACTGAATATCAATTCCCCTGCCGGAATGATGGAATCGTCAACCGATGAAGACGACAACGACGAAGACGATGTTTACTTACGCATATTTCGATGGAATCTTACCGTTCGGTTTCCCTGCAAAGGAAGAGGAAAAGATACTTCAATTAGACGAGCTTATTTGGGTCAAATTGACTGGATTTGTGGGGAAGGCTTGCGGTGGGTATGTTTACAGTTATAATGGGGGTAAACAAGTATCTGTTGTATTTGTGTAAACTGAGAATGTCACTAATTAAAATCCTTGTATGTATTTGCATGTGCTCAACTCGATCCTATTTTCTAAGACGTTCTTGGAATCCTTTGGATTCATGGTTCCACTTCTCAGCCGCCTAGTTACCTTGTGGCAGTCATCATTTTGTGGTTCTGCGGAATCAAGCTTGATTCGTTCTTTGATCGAGCTAAATATCAGTACTGTGCTACCCCGAGTAAAAATTAAATTCAATCTTTAGGTTGTGACGGAATTTGAGGAGTTCACCTACATTGATCGAGGCGACTATTATTCGTAATCGTTTTCGAGTTTGCGAAATCGCTGTCTTTCTTCGCACCTCCAATATGCAAATTGAATCCCTTTTGTAGTACGTGCTATTTTTTCCCCACTACGATGAATTATATGTATGGTATAATTGATCAAACAAGTCTCTAGTTTCAACCTCACACAATCACTTTCATTTGCGAATAACAAAATTGTAATGCTTCCCAAAAGTTGGCATAGGATTTCGACATCGAAAAATCGCATCTAATGAATGTATTTCTCTATTCGGGATGCTCGGAATATGATTGGTGTATGCGACACCGTTTGGATCAAATTTTGTCATTAGCAGACGAATAGATGCGGCTGAATAGATTCTTTGGATGGGCACACGATGGAACGAAAATTGAATTTCTTCTTCTGCCATTCCCATTTCCTGTTCCGGATACTCCACTGCTTCTGCTGAGCTTCTACACGGAAGAGCAAAACATGTCATGGCGTATCTTCGTTTTTTTTTGCAGCAGACGTAAACTGGTCTGCTGTGACCTCAATAGCGTTCTTTCATGCTACACACGCACACCTACATGGTTATGTTTGCCTCCGCAGGAATTCCTCTACAACATCGAAATCAATCGGTCTCGTCGATTGGTATGCTCCTTTTCAGGCATTTCGGTTGCCTCGTTCAAGCACTTGATGGGCCTTTGTTCGGAAGTCGAGGGTGCTCGATGGAACTATTTCGCTCCAGATCGAAGTCGGTTTTGAGTCTTCCAATGCTCGTTAGAGCTCACTTCAATGATTGGAATGCAAACTTAAATATGGGGTGGTAAGTTCATGTATAATTTATGTTGTGTATAAACTTCGAATTTATGTATTTCTGATACCGTAATGTACCCAAAACCGGACAGTCCTAAATCATAATAATTATGTTAGATGAACATGGACAACACTATAGAATCATCATAAAATTTACGTGGCATTTCAATTCTAATTGGGGCTTAACAACTATCCGGATTTATGAACTTAGTATCTAGATTTCGGTGCACAAGTCTGAATAATTAACCTAAACGAACCTAACACTGATTTTTCAGTTTTGCGTCTTCCTACTCATATCCATACCGTAAACATTATTCGGCCTTTTGCATCCAATTTACTTGTGAATTAAACTCAAATTTCACCCCCGAGTCTGCTTTCCTTCGCCCAAGTGACAAATTCTTCCACTGAATGAATTATCATTACCAAACTTCCTCCTCGCTACCAAGCAGATTGGGGTACTTCCCAAGAAACCGCTTCCCACCCACTTCCAAGTTGTGTTTGTGGTTCACAAACAACGTTAACTTCAGTCGATTCACCCTATCTTACCACCCTTCCACCCCCCCCCCCCCCTTTGCCATCGCCTCATCTTACATTTGCAATTTACGAGCCACGCTGGGTGGTAGCGTGCACACGCGAAAAAGCTATAGCCAATTTCCATCTTCTCTATGTGAGTGAGAGAGAGAGAGAGAAGAAATCATAAGCATATTAATGTGGTAATAAAAATTTAGCTCACGAAATCGCACACCCACCTCACGTCGGTCCCACGGTGGTTGAGGGAAGTTTTTAAATTTGGAACTCCGCCTGGTTGGTTCATAATTATCATCAGCACCGTCCCCCTACCGCTTTCGAGTTGCAAATTGATGGTGCGGTGCATAAGTTTGACAAAAACAACCCAAACGGCGCTCGTGGGAAACGGTGGGCCCCCTCTTTCCAGGTCCGTTTCCGAAAGTTTGCTCGTGAATTCTTAATGAAGGTCGAATCACATGTAAAATAGGTTGTCCCGATTCTGGGGTATTTTGCTTGCTGTTAAAGGGTCCTAAAATTAATGACTGTTACTCAGCTGTGTCGTATAACTCAAACCCTTTAATCTACAATTCATATTAGTCAAATTACTAGATCTGACTAAAATACAATTAAACCATGGCCCACTTAGTAATGGAACAAACTCTTTGCTTAATACAGCGCTCCTAGTGGAAGTTTTCCGAAGCTTTTGACGTATGTTTGTTGACAACAACAATAACAATAACACTGTATTTTTTCAGTTCCTGAAACGCTCTTGCGTAGAAAATCAATCGTGGTCCGCGTCCAAACTGGCTAAAGTGTTGATTTTTTCTGGAAACAACGTATGGCGCGCGCGCGTGCTGAAAACGTACAGGGAAGCCCTTAGCTCAGTCGGTAAAGGCACAGCTACAAAGCAAGACCATGCTGGAGGTGGCTGGGTTCGATTCCCGGTTCGGTCTAGGAATTTTTCGGGTTAGAAAATTTCTCGACTTCCCTGGGCATAGAAGTATGATTGAACTTGCCACACAATTATACCAATGCAAAAATGGTACAGGCATCGAAAGCTCTCAATTAATAACTGTGGAAGTGCATCTAGAACACTAAGTTGAGAGCACGCAATAAGCTAATATGTCATACGCAATAAGCTTGAAATGCGAGGAAGAATAAGAAACCTTGACGACGAATCGGAAGCCTCAAAGTAAACGCCAGAGTAGATCTGCCAACCGTCAGTTTAATGGAAAGGTCGTGAGGTCCATCAGAAGCAACCCAGGTATGTCCGATCGTGATTTGAGTAATAAGTATGATGCCGCCCGTAGTACAGTGCAGCTAGCGCGTAGGCTTACAGGCATACCGCGTCAGTAGGCAACCAAATCGATCACTCAAGCAGAATACTGTTGCTAGAACGAGTACTGCAAAATATATATATTAATACCTACAAAATACTGAATTTCACTAGCCACCTGATGTCAGCATCAGTTTACACAGTTAGAATATCAATATCATTCACCTCAATGTCAGTGCGCAAATGACATTGACATCGTACAGGGACCACTGATATTCAAAGTTCAACTTCAAATGTTTCTTATATACGCCAGCTAATCGAGTACCGATCTTTCGAAAATTCATCAGAAATATTAAAGAAAATGCAATACAAACAAGTTGATTTATTGAGAAAAGCTAGATTTTCAACTTTTCCCTAGTGATATTCATATGGATAGTAATAGCAAAGCCGTACTGCCTAATATCATGCCTACTACGAATATCAGTGTCGGAAGTAAAATTCAGTGCTAGACCAATATCATACGTCAATTGACATTATTGACATTACGGATAAATTCGCACGCAGACACTATATATGATCTTGCAGGGAATTTGCAGCTGCGGCCAGAAGACAATGGTTTTCGTCACTGAGAAGTTGATGAACTCGGAGGTTTACAAAACCGAATGTCTTCAGATGCGAATTTTGCCCTTCATCCAGTCACATGATGGTCCGGTGTCATTTTGGCCGGATCTTGCGGGTTGTCACTACATCCGAGAAGTACAACAATGGTACAATGACAACGCACAGTGGTCCAGAATGTAGATTTAGGTGGAGGATATGTTTTGAGCCTGAAATTGAAACTTTAGACTAAAAGTCTCTTCTACAAAGTTGTTCCTTACAGTTAGGCCCTCATTTTTATTACTATGAATTCTAGGGTGGTTCCAAGGGGTAAGACAGCTCCTAATCATGAGCAATTCAGAGTTGCTTTTGAGGCACCTCGAGTAACTCACGATGCTCATTGAGCAAGATCACTGTCATTTGCTTTCTCACTTTTCGCATCATAGCAACATATGGAGGTGCGAGGCCGAAAAGCTGCTGTCAAGCAAAACAAAAACAAAAAGGAAACATCCGGCTCGATTTGGTAGAAAAACTCAATCCGCCTGCCCAAATACTCCAGATCCGGCAAATTATACGTACCCTGCACGTCCTCTGATACTCGTCGAAGCAATCCCATTCCCATCGCTCAGCAATCTGCCGCTAGAAACTACGAACCAACCATTGGATTCCCATGGCGCCGTTCTGCTGCTAGCGGACATCCTCACACTTCTGGTGCTACTGCTGTGCTTTCTGAATAATCGTGATGTGGTCCGCTTTCTGCGATACAACACCTGGATTCTTCTGCAGCCGTCGACGGAAGTGTTTGTTCAAGATTAACATAACTACTTTAAAGAAGATACTTCATCCAGAAGGATAAAAATTGTTTTGTTGATTTATTTGTTATTCTTTTAACTATTATTTATTATATTCGGAGCATGTTTCGTTCTTCAGTTATATGCCAGTGATTGCCCGCAACGATTTCTCATTCTCCTCGGTGGAGCCGTTTTCTATACAAATTCTGGAATTCACATCGTGTCAATAGCCGGCTGAAAAATTATATTTTGGGCCTTATTATGGGTGTCACTACACGGTGATAAGCAAGTGATACTCAGAATAAGAGCCGTGATTACCGTATAAATCAAATGGGAATCACTTCACCGTGACGACAAGTGACAAGTTTTCACCAAGAAGTGACATCCGTAATAAGCCCCTTTGTTTACAAGCAAGACTGACGCCTAGTGAAGGGGATACACGGAGTAAGCCAATAGGTAAAGAGGCAAAAAATCGATGCACGTCGATTTAATTTTGAGGTCCATTGAGTTACTCACGAGTTACTCGGTGCAAAAATGCAACTAAGAGTAAAGCTGTCTTACCCCTTGAGTGGTTCTTATGATCATTAAAATCAAAAATCTAACTTTTTTGTTTGACGAAATGAAG